TTTGCAATCTCTCAGAACCCCTCAGGAAAAATCCCAGAGGTCGTTTAGGTATAAAAGACATCTTGAAATTTTTTTCCCCCTCAACTTTAGAATCTGATCTTGAAGAGACAAAAATCAAAAGAGCTATCAGAGGAAATTTACTAAAAGAGAATCATAGATGTCACAGTACATGAATAGTTTTAGCTGGGCTATGCATTAATCAAAGTGACAATGAAATATATTAAAGTAAATGCAGAAGAAGTTATCATGACATTCTTTTTTTTTTTAAATTGAGGATATTACTAACTCAGCCAAAGGAAAGAAAATGATTCTAGTGACACATGGAATCTCTGCTACCTGAGAAGATTACAGAATAACCCTTCTTACCGCTTGTTAAGAGCAGACAAAATACTCCATGATCAACTTTAATGGAAAGAAGACCAAATTCTAATTTTATATTAACATTGTATTTGGCTGTAGAAGATTCATAGAACTCTCTCTGTTTTTTTTTAAATTTAGGAATTCTTGAATCAAAACTAAGCCAACTTGGCCAAAGTTTTAACATGTGTCATGCTTATTTTTACATTAATTATTAGTATTTATTATAAAGCAAGGCAACAAAATCATTTTTCACATTCTTCTACAATTGTATGTATCTATTCAAGTTTTAATCTTCACAATCTTTGTTCATGTTCTGGAGTAAGATACTTAATTTTAGGACAAAATTCTTTCTTTTTTTTTTTCTTCGTAAACACTCCGTTACCTTTTATCCAAAGTTATATTTCTCTGCCACTCTTTTTCTAGCAGTCTTAATCACACATATTAATTTTAACTTTTTTATTTTTTGGGATGGAACCTTGCTCTTGTTGCCCAGGCTGGAGTGCAATGGCGTGATATCGGCTCCCCGTAACCTCCACCTCCCGGGTTCAAGCGATTCTCCTACCTCATCCTCCTGAGTTGCTAGGATTACAGGCTTTCACCACCATGCCTGGCTAATTTTGTGTTTTTAGTAGAAATGGGGTTTCTCCATGTTGGTCAGGCTGGTCTTGAACTTCCGACCTCAGGTGATCTGCCTGCCTCAGCCTCCCAAAGGGCTGGGATTACAGGTGTGAGCCACCGCACCTGGCCATTAACTTTAACTTTTAACTCAAGTAAGTAAAGTAAGCAAACTTCATTGCTGTCTTACTTTCAGACAGCCACAGCCACCCCAACATTCAGCCACCACCACCCTGATCAGTCGGCAGCCGTCAGCGTCAAGGCAAGATCCTCCACCTGCAAGATTAGGACTTGCTGAAAGCTCAGCAAGTTACTTACTTTAGTTAACTTTTAACTAAGTAAGTGTTCTGTTCGCTTTCTAAAATGCTCAAATTTTAGAAAGTCAGCAGAAGACACCCAATATGATTTTGTATAATCACATGTATCATTTTATCACATTTTTAAAATGGCAAAAATGATGTCTTCATTAACACAGAGTTTTCAATTTTGCCTTCAGGGAATACAGACATGTCTTGGAGACATTATAGGTTTGGTTTCAGACCACCACAATAAAGTGACTATAGCAATAAAGAGAGTCACATGAATTTTTTTGGTTTCCCAGTGCATATAAAAGTTATGCCTACACAAGATTGTAGTTTATGAAGGGTGCAATAGCATTGTGTATAAAAACAATATACATATCTTAACTTAAAAATACTTCATTGCTAAAAATTGCTAATGATCATCTGAGCCTTCAGCAAGTTGTAATCTTTTTGCGGGTGGAGGATCTTGCCTTGATGCTGAGAGTTGCTGACTGATCAGAGTTGGGTGGCTGTTGCTGTCTGAAAGGAAGACAGCAATGAAGTTTCCTGCACTGATTGACTCTTCCTTTTACAAAAGATTTCTCTGTGGCATGAGATGCCATTTGATAGCATTTTATTCACACAAAATTGAAGTCAGTCCTCTCAAACCCTGCTGCTGCTTAATCAACTAAGTTTACAAACTATTCTAACATTTTTCTTGTCATTTCAACAATGTTCACAGCATCTTCACCAGGAGTAGGCTTCATCTCAAGAAACTACTTTCTTGCTCATCCATAAGAAGCAACTCCTCATCTGTTTTAAGTTTTGCCATGAGATTGCAGTAATTCCGTCACATCTTCAGACTCTACTTCTACTTCTAGTTCTCTTGCTGTTTCCATCACATCTGCAGTGATTTCCTCCATTGAAGTCTTGAAATCTCTCCACGTTACCCAGGGGTTTGGAATCAACTTCTTTCAAACTCCTGTTATCATCGTCATTTTGACCTCCTCTTATAAATCACAAATGTTCATAATGGCATCTAGAATGGTGACTCCTTTCCAGAAGGTTTTCAATTTACTTTGCCCACATCCATAAGAATCACTATCTATGGCAGCTAAAACCTTATGAAATGTATTTCTTTAACAATAAGACATGAAGGCTGAAATGAATTGTTGATCCATGGGCCACAGAATGGATGCTGTGTTAGCAGATTGAAAACAA